GCATATCTGATACAAGGTTGGGGATAGGAGGATTTAACGCACACTTGAGGTTGTTTATTTAGTTATGGGTTAAATTGGGTCGCAAAATGTTGTTTACTAGAATTTAATTACGTCAGATCAGAATACTGGGAGAAAATAAAGGCAGAAAATGGGCGAAATCCAGCGTTTGATGATACCTCAGGAATTTCCTATGCTATTAAACGCTGCGGAAAAGAACTTCTTATGCATGTTGCACTATAAAAGAACATTCATGAAGAGCAAAAATTTTTTAATTATATCTGTCCACAAAACGGAAGATTTTGTTTTGCATCCATGAAATTGAGATTAGTGTTATTAGGAGATAGCGCATTACTTTTGGGAATAGAAGAGCGAAATAAGTTTTAAAAATCTATTTTGCAAATCTGCCAAGTTTTTTGCCATAAAATTGAGTAATAAACTTTTCTTTGCATTACTCCGTATTAAGTTTATATTTATATTTGAGGGGTTACAGGCAAGGAATGGTTTTGAGAACTTAATTAGTATATGGCATCCAAATTAATTGTACAATCGATACGAAGTTGGAGACAGTTAACATAACAAACGCAGAGTTGTCAAGGGACATTGCGAAACAGTTTTTTTCAAAAATCGCCGTTGAACAGGTAACATAACAAACATTTGACAGAGTTGTCACGGGACATTGCGAAACAGTTCAAAAATCGCCGTTGATAGTATTGAAACTCTACTTTCTATTTGTTATTGTAGACCATTCAAGGGACATTGCGAAACAGTTTTTTCAAAAATCGCCGTTGATATTATTGCCACTCCTTCTTTCTATTTGTTATTGTAGAACTTAGTCTAGAAGTAACCAAATATACTGAATTTGCGAAACAGTTTTTTCAAAAATCGCCGTTGATATTATTGCCACTCTACGTATTTGTTATTGTAGAACTTAGTCTAGAAGTAACCAATTATGCTGAAAACTGTTCCGTTCCAGATAAAAGAAGTAGCTCTTTCATTTATA